GTGATCGCCTCAGTCCCCTTTAAATTTCATATGAAAACGGCGACAGACTTCGATCGACTCTTTCAGCGTGTTTTTTTTTCAATCCACAGACCGTGGCTGCGCAGAGCGAGAAACAGAGGACAAGGTGTGTGTTTAACGATAGATTGTTATAATATCTGCATCTGTGCAGTTCTGCTCTTTGTCATAATACAGTTTACAAATACAGTAAACAGGTGTGTGTGTGTGTGTGTGTGTGTGTGTGTGAGATCGATCATAAAGACTTGTATTTGGCTTATTCAGTTATATGTTATACCTATCTATGCAATACAGTGGAATACTGCACTTTTTGGTATATAAATTTAGCATACCACCCCTATTAGTCAAACATTTTTTATTTTATATATATATATATATTTATTTATTTATTATACCGTCATTGGGGGCTGAGCCCCCCTAAAATGAAAATCCTAGAATCGCCCCTGAACGTGGCGCAGGATGGGAAAATGAGAACTGCGTCGGGCTGAAACTAGCAAAAAACACCTGCGTCGTGCCTGGCGCCGCATTGCGCCCGGTGTATGATAGGGCCCCATGACATTTTTGATATGACATGACATGATATTGTTAACCATATATGAAATACGATACAGCATGTTTTTTATGAATTTCTAAGGCGTCTAAATTATGATCAAAAATCTGCTGAATCTGCTGAGCAAAAAACTGTTGAATAATAAAGTAACCTAACCTTATACTTTTTGAGCAAATAAGTATAATTTATGTAGAATTGTAAAAACATCACAGTCTCATAACGTCTTTTTTGGGAAATCTTTTATGATTTTTAAAGTAAATGTAAGAATAACTTTTATATTGTTATTAATATTTCAAGATGCACATTTATGTTAAACATGAATGATCATCACATTTGTTAATCTCTCAAACATCACTGCATTGCACTGCATCATATGTTTAACCCCTGACCAATAAAATTGCAGAGCATTGATCATAAAACTAAGCAGTAAAATGTATTTTTATTAATAATAAGATCATATTATTGGGAGACAGAGTAGAAACTGATATTCATATGTATTTTATGTAAGCAGTCATAAAGATCTCATTGATTTACATTCCAAGCTATCAGAATTTCTTACTTTTAGCTCTGAAAATTATGTGCTTTTTAAGCTTCATATTTTCACTACATCATACTACATTATGTAACACATTCACACTTTTTAAAAATGTTTTTGTATATTTTGTCTAAAGGTTCAGTAAACTTTTACATGCCACATTTTCTCACTACTATTACATATGTGATGCATTAGTGTTAAAACAGCTTTTGCTCAAGAGTGACAAGATTTTAGCATGCAGAACACTTGGTGTGGCATCCTTTAACCCATTTACTACTTGAGAAATGAATGGGATGTCCAGATAAGAGTCTCTGAGATGTGATTGAACTGAATGCTCTTTCAAGCACCAACACACTGCTGCAAAGAGCAGAAGCCACAACAGCTCACAGAAACTAGTGCAACATCTCTGTCATCCCACAGAATAGGGGAGGACAGTTAGGTACAATCCTGGATTCAATGAATAACAGCTTCAATAATGTCACGCAACGGTGTCTTCCTGCAAGTTTCACGTCTCTCGCCACACCCGATCTGAGCTCAGTTATGTCAGCCCTGAGGGCGCATATTCCTCCAGCACAACTTCCTCTATCAAAGCGACTCTGTACTTCAAACACATTGCAAAAGAAAAGACAAACGCCAAATGATTCAAACCAACACGGACACATTCTTTGCGAAAATATCATTTCTACAAGCCACACTTGGTGAACTGTCTCAACTTCGGCGGTGAATATAAACATATGGAATAATCTGACACCCGTTTCGACATATTTGGACCGTCTGTGTGTGTATGCATGATTCACAGCAAAACCATGACAGGAATAACAACCCATCTGCACTGCTAACGTTAGTCCAGTCGCTGTAGGCCGCGTTTCTCCTCAAGTTTTTACAGTTACAGTATCATTCCTTCCGTGACGTGCGACTGTTACACTGCAGAGTTTACAAAGCTGTAGGCCATCATAATAAACCACTAAAACGGAAGAACAGACTCAAGTGCTTTTTAGAATGTACGTTATTTGAAAGCGCTTTCAACCGTTAAAAGCCGTTTCTTCCGTTATAAGCTATGCTGCATATTCGCCTGAGGAGGAAAAAAAGTGAACTTTTATGAGCTAAAGTCTCCTCTAACGCCTTATTCACAGCTTCTCCAGAATTATCGCCAAACCAAGGCGTTTTCTTGAAATCCCACTGTGACAAACGCGTAAATCCAATGTCGAATTGTTGATCATATCTGAGTTTTAAGATCTTCGCATCGGAAGGAAACTTCCCACCCTTGAAAAAGTTTAGCAGCTTTAGCTCAAGTGCGCCGAATTAGTTTTGAGTTCTTACCTCAGCTTTCTTCGATCACTAGTTGTCCACCTTCAGACAATAACCAATGTGTTAGCGATCCCTGTCCCCAGCAGAAGGTTCGTGTTGAGTAAACGCAGTGTGTAATGTCAGAACAGAAGTGATTTCTGCACCGTTGCTTTGAGGCGCTGTTAAACTCCACCCTGCTGTGAGCACGCACGGCACGCACGCACGCACGCACGCATCACTGACTCGCCTCAGCCCGCTCCGCTCAAATTATGTATTCACATTTTGTTTTATCCTTCCTTGTAATTACTTTACTACGGTCGGAAAACGACACAGTGTAGGAAATTTAGATCTAAAACGGTCAAATGTTTGGTTTATGTTACGTCAATAAAATATACTTTTCGACAGGTTTTAATTATTTAGAGGCTTAAAGAATTAAAGAGACACCGCATTATTTTTATTCGAACGCGGTCGTTTTATTTTATTAATATAGCTTTAAATGTTGGGAGCGGAACCAGCATGATGATTATAGCACCATCTAGTGTTGAATATATTGTTTACACCTCAATAGTGAACACTTCTCAGTACTGTTCTTAGCTCAGCTCGTTACATGTAACGGAATTACGCAGTTTAATTACAAAATAAATGTAACTGTAATCTGTTACAGTTACTGTGAAAAATGTGTAATTAAATTACTGTTACTTAAGAACATGTTAACGATTTCAAAGAGGCTTGCATCTGAATATTTTCACGCACATACAGATTTAATTGTCTTCTTTCCCAAATTGCACTGGCTGCTATAAAATATGAGACACCAATGTTTGAGGAGTTTAGGACACTTATTTGATAACTGGCTTTGGATTTGTGTATATGGTTTATTTTTTAAGATTAACTGTTTTTTTTTCCAAGCCATTGTTAGATGTCAGTGTTTCCTTCATAAGTGCACTCTAAAAAATGCTGTACTATTTCAACCCAACTTTGGGTCAAATTTGGACTAACCCAACTTTTGGGTTAAAAATGTAATGTAAAACTGTAACCCAACGGTTGGGTTAGTCCATATTTGACCCAGAGTTGGGTTGAAACAACCCAGCATTTTTCAAAGATTTGATTTCAAAAACAGCATCACAGCTATTAAACTATATCTTGTCACGATGTTAAATCTGTATTTAACCTCAGAGCGATCTCAAAGTAAAAAGAGGTGCTAAAGTCTAATTTTGTGGTGGCTGTGCTATAAAATGAACATTTTTCTAACCTTAACTCAAGTGATGAAGGGTTTTGAAAGTCTGACAGTAATCAGCATTTCAAAATGATTAACAGTTGAAAACATTCATTAGAAATTTAGAAAAGCAATAAAAAAAAATCTAATGTAATCAGTTACATTACTTTTTAAAAAAGTAACTGAAATAGTTACACTACTTATTACATTTTAAATAGAGTAACTAACTTGTGACCGATTTCTTTTCCAAAGTAACTTTCCCAACACTGACTAACAGATACAACTTTTTATTTTAAAAATGTATGTGGAAATTAACATTTAACCAAGATTAACTAAGATGAATCGTTCGTGTTTACTAATGTATTGTTAAACAGAATCTTGTTTTATAGTGTACTGTTTTCAATGCTTGCTGAACTGTGAACTGGCTTTTTGGTCTCACACCTTTAACCTTGTGTTGGAAACCATCTGTTTAAAGATGCTGGGAACTTCCTCTTTGTGAAAGGAATGTCCCAATCTATGCCAAACATCAGCAAATCATCCTTTCTCGTCCTCAGAGACTCCTCCGTCTGGACTTCACCTGCTTAAGTGGCTGTGCAAACTGCTAGCGTAGTTTATATTTTCACCAGCTGATATAAGGCTGGGAACACAAGCAGAACCCATTTGAAAAATCTCCAGAACTACTTTGGCACTTGTCACTGAGCATTTATAGGCAGACAGAAGCACTCGGACTCGTCTGAGAGACGCGGGGCTCTGAGCTGAGTAACTACACCACTCTTCATGTTGCAGCTCCCATATCCAAGTCTTCCTTCTAAAGGGCTCCTTTCACTTTCCTTTCAAGGATGACAGGAGTCATTTCCAAATAAAGCAGGAATTCAAAATGTATTGAATGCAGAAGTACCATTCCATGATGAACTGAAAAGCATCATGTTTTCAATTACCACCTTCTGCTATTCACAACCTCAATTCCCAAAAGTTGGGACATTCTGTAAAATGCAGTGAAGTCAAGAATCTGTGATTTGTTCATTCTCTTTAAGCTTTATTTAATTGACAAAAGTACAAAGAAAAGATTTCCAATGTTTTCACTGACCAGCTTAAATTGTATTTTGCAATTTTTGATGCTGATGGCTGCAACACACTCAGGAAAGAGTTGGAACAGAGGAAAAATAAAAGTGAGAAGGTTATAGAATATCCCAGTTAAACTGTGTTGAAACAGCTCACAGTAAGCAGGTGAACCGGTAATAGATGAGGGTATAAAAGGAGCATTTGTGCCAAATTTCATGAAAGAAGTGTCAAAGAAAAGCAAAAAATCACATTTCTCAATTTGCTCTGGAAATGGTATGGAGCGAATTTTGTGCCAATATTCATCAAACAAATCCAGCATAGCAACTTTCTTTTCCAAAAACAGCAGATGGCGCTGTCGGTCATTTACGCTAGGCTCCTGAGACCCGAAACACCTGTTTACCCTTTCAGACCAACATGAGTGGGGAACAGGTGAGTTTCTGTCTTACATTGGCTACATGTAAGGGATACCTCTGCTTCGCGTCGGGGTCCTGATCACCCTGTTGGGGTTTATTCTGAGATAACAACCGGCTGGATGTACATTATCCCGCTTATTACACGGCTACTTGCCACATAAGTAAATAATTAGACGCGAAATATTGATTTGAGTTGAAATATTTGGAGAGAGAGCAAGCGCAAATCCTGGCAGCGGCAGGTCGTAGTGCCACTACCGGTGGCATCCCCAGCTGCCACTAGTCGTTTCTGCCAGCTGCCAGAGTTCGTGCCAGCTGCCACGGTCTTTCTTGCCGTTTCTGCTGTTTGCTCGGTAAAACTACACTGTGTATAATATATACAGGGGCGTAGCCATCATTTCAGAAGTGAGGGGGACAGAAATGTTATATATATATAT